TAATTATTACATCTTGTTGCGTGCTTTCAATTGCATGCGGTTATTGACAAATTGGAAAAACGACATCGATGCAGCTATATATTCCGCTTCATCGCCGCCATTCTCATTGATGAACCATTCTGAAAAAAATTTAATACATTTTTAATTGAATGTTAAACTAAGAAAGGATAAGGAGAACTCATCATTTGAAGACTCGAATGCTCCACCGATTAGCGCAGCAGGCCCTGGATTGGATTTTTTTTACCGCATAGGTTTTATTTAATTTTTTCTTTTAATAATATATTTTAAAAAACGTAAACACGTCACTTACGATTGAAAAAATGTTATATTTACTACTTCATGTCGTTGGTATTTGCATTTCATTTATAATTTCAAGTTATTTATAAATATTCGCTCTCAAAACTTATTAAAGGTTTATTTGAAAAAACTTTTAATATGCTTAATATTAAAAATGCTTATTTAACGCTTATTATAGCAAAATTACTTTAAGTTATTTTTAAAAACATTTACTGAAATGCTTGTTGGGTATGTGCATAAAAAAATACTTTTGGATATTCATACAAAAAATTGTCATTTATTTCAATTCAATTTATTTTCACCTTGTTTGAATATTGTAATGCCGACACAAATATCAGAACAGCTATTCACTCAAATTCAAAAAAATTTGAAGCCCAAATCATTCGTGCGTTTTGTATATGAATAATTCATAAGCCGTTTTGAATGCATTCATGCAGCCCTCTAATACCTACATATGTATATATAAAACTTTTAAATATACAATGTTATTTGAGCAATTGTTAAGTTTCAGTTTGTCACTATTTTCAGGACACCGTGTGGATAAAGTTGAAGAGACATCGTCAAAGCGATTTACTACGAAGTCCACTCTGAATATAAAGCCGAATTCTGAAGATGACTATACGGAATACACATGCCAAGCAAAACACAAAGCGTTGCCCCCAGATATGCCGATGCGTTCAACTGTCCAGCTGTCAGTTCTTTGTAAGTAATTAAACTAAAAGTGGGATTTGTTATTGTTATTGTGTCTTATTATATTTTTATTTCACCAGTCTTGTTGAGCTTTCCACCATGATTTAAATTTTTTGAAAATGGAAAAAGCTATAAAGTCTAAGCCAGAGGTTCCCAAACTTTTTTTCATAAATTTACTGGTTTCGGTGGACCCCCTGCTGCTACATCTCTAAATATTCCCAAAGCTCGTAAAAAATTAAATGTGAAAATTAGATCTAACAATGTAAATTTGCATCGCGGGTGAATTCAAAAACTAAACTCAGAGTGGCCAAAATAAAAGTAAAATATTTTCTTCTGTTCTATTTATAAAAATAATGTGATTACACACTTGTAGGTTTTAAAAAATAGAGCATGCAAATACATCAAAATACTCTCTCGCTCGGAAGAGTTATATTTTTTAAGAGCACTGCGAGCGCTAGCCATATACATATGTAATACTTTTATATTGGCAGTAAGCTAACTTCTCAATGTGTAAGCATTCCGAAATCAAAGCGAGACAGTCTAGTACCGTTTTTGTCAATGTATTGTGTACTTGCGTGCCGTTTTTGTATATGTGTTGTGTACATGTTTATTTATAAAAGTATGCGTTCCTTTTCTTTCGTACGTGTTTATTGATATATCTGTACTGTAGTGTTTTCGGACGGTACTAGCTCTTACTGCCAATATAGGAGTATTACATATATGGCGCTAGCTATGTATATTTACATTATCTTCACCATAAACTCATCAAATGTTCGGCTCACTCATGACTTTGCACGTGAAGTATATGTTAAATAGTTTATTTGTGTTAATGGCATTTTATTTTTGTCGCTCCGAGTTTTAAAATGAGGCGAAAAATATTTTTTCCCGTTTTTAAAATACAAAACTTAAAACATCAAAACGGCTAAGCTTTTTACGCCAATTTTTTCAGAAGCTGACAATAGAGAAAAGAACAAGTTAAAAAAAAATCGATGACAAATAACCAAGCAAGCAAGAAGCACAAAAAGTGTTCCACCGTCTCATCTTCTTCAAGGCAAGATGGGCAAATTACGCCTATCACAATCAGGTGTTTGTGCCACGTGAAGTGACCAGTCAGCAGTCCAGCAAGTTGTCTGCAGTGTAGTCTGCTCAGTGAGAGCAAAATATTAGATAGACCTTGTGAGATTGAAGGCAACATGAGTTTTGCCCCCTCGATGCCTCTCAGTCAGTTCTGAGCGAAGTATTCACCCAGTTTCTGATGGTGGCTTCGATTGCCGAAGGAGGGAGTGCTAAAACTGGTTGCGGACCGAGGAATGCCTGGTCTGAGCCAACTCTGGCCAAATGATCAGATGTCTCATAGCCAGGTACTCCAGAGGGACCTGGCACCCAGAGTAAAACAACCTCGTTATGTTCACCATCATTTTTTAGTCGAGACTTGCATTGCCGAACTAGTTTGGAAGTACATAAATAGAGGGCTGGTCAATGCCTTAAGTGCAGCTTGGTTATCACTGCAGTCACGTAAACTCCTTCCCCTCCACCTATGTTCCACCACGTAGTCCATGGCTTTGAGTATTGCAATTACCTCAGCCTGGAAGACCGAAGCATATTCCCCTACAGGAAAGTGGATCTTATCTCCATTAACCTCGAAAAAGACCCCAGATCATGACCCAGAGTCAGTTTTGGAATCAAACCAGCATTCAGTCTCAGGGTACTATCCTGTAGCATTGATAAGACGCAAGTGCTTAAATCTCTTCCGCCAGCAATTTTCGCGGCGACCCACTCATTGTCATACCAGCGTCCGGTTCTTTTTAGTCTGCAGGTGGCCTCTAAGGCTTCCCCACGTATGAAAACACAAAGTGACGGTAAGTGCAGCAGTGCGTCAAGAGCACTATACACCACTCAAAAAAATTAAATTTAATTAAAAAGGCTATCAAGCAATCATTTTGGTTCTTTACATCGAAACCAGATAAATTTTCATGGACCCCCATTTACAACTCATGGACCACCATATTTTGTTCGCTTCACCGTGGACCCCCGTCGAATCTTCCGCGGACCCCTGGGGCCCACCTGGACCACTTTGGGAATCACTGGTCTAAGCGGTAGAAGTTATAGCTGCTATTTTGGAGATCAGAACATCAAATCAACAGACTTCAGCAGGAATCGAACACGCATCATCGATATGCAAAGTCAGCAACGCTAACCACTGAGCTAATTATGCACACCCCGTAAACACTTCTTGTTAATTCTGCCTAAAACTATACAATAATTCCAATTATTGTATAGAATTAATAATAAAAACCACCACGTCAAGCGGTGAATAAGCAGATGTGGTGATCTCTGAAATAGCAGCTATAACTTCTACTGCTTAGACTTTGTCGCTTTTTCCATTTGTATTGAAAGCTATGCAGCTTCAATAAGTTAAATTACACTATGTAACACTCATTTAAGGCCATACGTTAATATGTATTCATGCATAGTAGATTCGAATACAAATTCATTACATCACATGATATTAAAGGTAAAGCAAAAGTAAATCTTATCTTATGACAGCTGTAGTGAAATTTTGAGATTTTTTTTTCGTCAGCCATTTTAACCTCTTAACTCCTACCATGATACTCTGTGAAAAAGGTTTAGTTTTATTACCAAGATTGACTGGCTAACCAGAATATAGTACCACAGCCACAAGCTATTTCGCTAGCAGTTTAGAGCATTTGGAATATTTTAACTTTTTACAGCTCTTGCTACATACCACAGCCTCACCATTCTGGTTAGCCAGTTATTCATAATTAAGGATGAAACAATACCATGCAGGTATCGATACTTTTACTTAGAAGTAGTATCGTAAGAAAGTATCGCTACCCGAAAACTATCAGATCTAAAGTACCGATACCTACTTGTACTATCTACTTGTATAGATACTTTTGGCTAGAAAGGTATTTCGAATGAGCTGATATACATTTTATGTTTTACATAACAAAATTATAGCATTTTCAGTTTAAATGAAACCATTTTCAAATTACGTGAAACCTTTTTCAAATTAAATGAAACCTTTTTCTGATTCAATGAAACTTTATTCAAATTAAATGAAACTTTTTTCAAATTAAATGAAACATTCTTAAAAGGAAGTTTCTTTTAATTTGAATAAAGTTTCATTGAATCTGAAAAAGATTTCATTTAATTTGAAAAAGGTTTCGCTTTATCTGAAAAAGGTTTCATTTCATTTGAAAATGTTTTCGCTTGACCTGAAAAAAGTTTCATTTAATTTGAAAAAGGTTTCGCTTTGTTTGAAAATCGTTTCATTTAATTTGAAAAAAGTTTCATTTAAACTGAAAATGCTATACATAACAAAACTACATGTTTAATGGTGAATGGCTTTTATGACAGATTATATATTGGAAAAGATTACTGGAAATTAAATGGTGCAACTATATTTATTTATTCATATAACAATTTATATGTACAGTATCGGTCATATCTATAGCACGTCATTTCAAAGTGAAATTGTTTGCCACTATTAATTATCTATTTGTTTTTAAGAATTTTCAATTAAAACATAGTTCATTCTCAGGCAAGCCCCATGTACCACCAAGTTTAACAATTGGTAGAAAACTACAAAAAAGCGCAACAAAATTTCTCCTAAATCTCAAACCTTTTTCTCGGAAGTTTTAGAATTTTTTCGAGTACACAGTTTTTTAGCCCCTTCAATTTTAGTCTGATAATGTGCAAATTTCAAGCGGCTACGAATTACCGTTGATTAAAAAAAATTTTTTTTTGTCACATTGGCTTCCATATAATGAATAAACTCAATTTATTTGTATATCGAAGAATCCCTAACACCTTTGGCGAAAAAAATTCTAAAAAATCAACGGTAACTTCTAGCCACTTGAAACTTGCACATTATCATAAAATTGATTGGGCTATAAAACTGTGTATTCAAAAAATTTCTAACACCTCGCAGAAAAAAGTTTGAAATTTGGGTGATAATTTGTTGCACTTTTTTGTAGTTTTCTACAAATTGTTAAACTTGGGTTTATATGGATTTTATTAGAGAAGGAACTGTATTTTAATTGAAAATTGTTAAAAATAAATAAATAAACATAAGGGGCACACAATATCACTTTGAAATGGCGTGCTATAGATATGACCGATACTGTATGTAAATAAGTTCGCGCTTGTTTATACAACAAATAGTTTTCAGATCCTCCCATTCTCTTAATGCCCATTCTCTTAATGGGTTCGATTTCGGACAGTATGCTGGATAAACATAAGGATACTTCGTCACCTTTCGTAGACCTTTTTCTTCTTTAACCCATTAGCGAGTTGTTTGCGATATTGCCAGAAGTCGAAGTCATGCTTGGCTACTTCTTAATCTTCGGGGCTTGTTGAAACATCTACCCCTATAATAGTTTTAAATTTTTGTATATCCCTACCATGAGCGTTGGCATTTTGCAGGTGCATCCTCAGTCAATAATTGTACCGTGAGCTGCGTATCCCCCTTGTCTTTGCAAAACCGCCTGTCTTGTGGGAGAGCAAAAAAAAACTTTTCTTTAAGGCCATTGACTTGATATTGGATATTTCTTCTAGCCGGTATCTGGAGTTCATGGCTACTGAATATAATTTTTGCACTATAGCGATTCAGGCGGTTTTGCAAAGGCATCGACGAGATGATTTATATTCAGTAAGAGGCGGCTGCTGTGGTGTAGTGGTTAGCAGTGCACGCTACCATTCCACAGTTCCTGGGTTCAAGCCCGGTTCAAACCAACATCAAAAAATAAAAAAACAAAAATGGCAAACTTCCGAGTGTACTTCTGATCTCTGAAACCTGTAAAATTTCAGATATAATTGAAGTGTGAAGAAGATACTAATTCATTTCATCTTCAGTGCTATGAAACGTTCTTAACATACCCTTTTTACCCGCATTTAAAAAGAAAACTTAATGAAATGTGCGTATTTTTATATTTAAAAATTTTGAGTAATATTTCTAAATTTTAGTGCACTTTGGCTTATTTTTTGCTTTAAATTATAATACCTCACGTCCGAGTTGCAATTTTATCACTTTTTTTCGTAATAGCGTAAGCACCAAAAACGCCCCCAATTTGATTCACTCTGCTAGCATGTTAATAATTGTCGAATTGAAAATGCCTTTGCATAAGATAAAAAGATAATGAGTAATTCATCTAAATGCGCGAATGCCTCGTAACCACGTACACCTCGTAAACTTACTTAATTTTGTATGAAAAACTGGTTTCTTTACGAGATTTACATGGTTACGTGGCATCTATACGTTTTGATGAATACCCATAATAAATTTATTAATGTCCATGTATGTACAAACCCACAGTGGTAGATCTCCATATACATATGTAGTTAAGGCAAAAAGTTGACGAGTCTTATCTAATTTTAATAAACTAGATCTGAAAAATATAATGCTGAGCTTCAAACAAATCCAACAATTTTTTAAAAAATTTATCGCCATTTTAGATCCGCCATTTTGAATTTTGAAAAACTGACTTCAGATTACTAATTAGCAACCCCAGAAACCCCCTTGTAACAAGTTCCAACAACAACAAGTTCGCACGTCAACGTTTTAATTTCAGAAGTCTCTTTTCGAAAGCATATTTTCGGGCACTAGGACTATTCTAACTATCCAAGACAGGAATGTAATTAGGAAAGTCTTCCCCAATAATCCAGAGTAATTACATGCAATAACCACATTTTTAGCTGCATTTGAACATGTCACGAAAAAAATTTTTTTTTAACCACTAATGGTACACCCATGGTCTGGCCTCCATATAAAATGTATAGAAATGTAGATATAATTTGCTAAGTTGATAGGTAAAAGTGATTAGTTATAAAATATAGTTATGTATGTAGAACGCCCTGTATGTAGTAGTATAAAGAAAAAGATTTTGGATAAATGGTTTTCTTCCGTTTTTTCATTTACTTTATTTTTTTATTATTTTATACATTTATTTAATACATGTATACATAGAAAGAATAAGATAATCATGCCTATTACGGTATCCGACGGATGCCTTCCGCACGGATCTAACTCGATTCACACTGCCATAACAAGCGAATGAGAAGGATTAGATTCATGAGAATGGGATCCCTCGGAAACAGACCTATTCCGGTCCGACAGATACCATTCGCACGAATCTAATCTTTCGCACTCGCTTATTCCGACAGTGCGAATCTGATTAGATCCGTGCGGATGGCATCCGTCGGATACCGTAATAGGCATGAATATTTTTGCTTGTTTTGGTGGGATACAGCTAAAGCATTTTTGAAACTGTTCGGAATGTTCTAGACATACAGGATGCTTACAATTAATGCATACGAATCTGGTTTTTGTATGTTTGTCTGCTGCTGTCATACATATTGGGCAGTTTAATTTTTTATTGCCAGGTAAAATACTGGACGGCCCAGCTTCGCCAGTTGGCGTTGGTGACTGGAAAAATTATAAAAGATACAATTAGTTTATATGTTGATATTTGAATATTTATATATTTGTTTGAACACTTACCAGAATGGGTCTACCAAAAAATGGTTCAATTCCGCTGCGAGTATTGTACTCCTTCATTACTTCCTGGTTGTTCCTGGTTGTTCACGCGCTCTTTCATGAGAGATTTTACTTGAGATTCGCAAAGTATGTTATAAAGGGTTCTTTCTAGCAAATGCAGATTTTGATATTTTGTTTTCATTGCAATAAATAAACGTAGCAAGAGCCATTACATCAACCATATTGTAAAAAAACGCTAGTGTACATTAATAACGGACCAACTTTTGATCCATTGAATCTACCCCAGATTTATGTGCGGTATAGAACAAAATGGCTTCTGGTTTACGAGCTTCATTTTCCTCTCCATTTCGCAACAATGAAGGAATATTTGAATCGCAATAAACTGTAGACATCAAAATAACGTTTCTGTTTTTTTAGGAATGTATGAAACAAAAGCAACATTTGCTTCATTGAAACCAAACACAGAGCTACAAGGTTGGCGGTTCTTATTTTTTTTGAATTGTTCAGGAACATACCGCCCCTGTAGACCTGCATGTACCAAATTAACTCAATCCAGAACGCAAGACGAGGTTGTGAAGAAATTATCTGCACCAGCGTCGGCCGAAAATCAGTTTTTTCTTAATTTTGATTGGTATAAGTAGCAAAAGTATGGTTCATTATGCTCTGAAAACAATCTGTGTGAAAGGTGACAAGTTTTGGTCAATATCTTAGGCTCGCCCAAGTCCATCAAAGTTCAGTGTGGTCAAAAAATAAAAATTAATAAATACAATAATTAATAATTTTTTTTACTAAAATTGCAAGTATCTTCGAAAGTATTAGTAGTACATAATTTGGTGTATGGACCTTTTTTTTAGAGAATCGAATTAAGCTAAGATACAATTTTTTTAGTACTTGAGCTTTGATGGACTTGGGCGAGCCTAAGATATTGACCAAAAATTGTCATCTTTCACACAGATTTCCTATTACCAATCAAAATTCTAAAAAGCGGATTTTCGGCCCATGCTAATCTGCACCTATTATTCTACCGGAATTCACAAACTGTGAAACAAGCTGGAGCAAAGCATTCTCACCTTGATTGACTGCTCGTTCAGTACCAGGTTCTTTACCAGTACAAAAAATTGCTGCAACTGAAAAATGGGATTTTACGTCGCATGCCCACCAAATTTTTAAACCGTATTTTGCAGGTTTGTCAGGGTTGTATTGGGTCCGGCCGCTGTGGTGTAGTGGTAAGCAGTGCGCGCTTCCACTCCGCAGCACCTGGGTTCAAACCCTGGTGAAAGCAACCTCGCAGAAATATAGAAAAAAAGGTTTTTTTCTTAACAGCGGTCGTCCCTCGACAAGCAATGGCAAACCTCCGAGTGTAATTCTGCCATGAAAAACAGCTTCTCATAAAAATACAATCGCCGTTCGGAGTCGGCGTAAAACTGTAGGTCCCTCCGCTTTGTGTGACAACATCAAGGCGCACGCCACAAATCGGAGGAGAAGCTCGGCCAAACACTAACATATGTGTAAGCGCCAATCTATTATTATTATTATTATTGGATCCTTTTTGCTCTGCCACGGTAAGGGTACAATTGTTCATCAATGGTTATACATTCATGCGGTCTATAATTGCGAGTCAAGTTTTGTTTCAAAACCAAGCAAATGTCGCTCCCTGGTGCTGCTCGATCTGTTAATAATCTGTATTCAAGCGTGTTGGCATTATCAAATCGGATAAAACGCTTGAGAAACATAGTTGCTCTAAAAATAGGTAGATTATTTGTTTTTCAGAGGAGACTTGTATGTTGGTAATTATTCCCAGTAACACCTGCCATAATCAGTAAACCGGTATACGCTTCTATAAATCAACAGCTGTAACATCCTTTCAGACTTTTTGACTTTTCGTTGGGTTTTTGCGGTTGAATTCTTCATATGGGTGTTTCCATACAGCCGTACGCGACATTCGTACGCTTATAGAGTAACGTAAATCTATCAAAAATAGAAGTTACAGAAAAAAAAGATTACGGTTATGTTGCAACCAAAGGGTACTATGTTTGAGAAAAGAGTAAGCAGCCTCGAAACTTTGATGTAGAAAATATCCGTTCAAAACCAGGTGATAACGTACGCGACAAAAAAAGAAGTGGTTTTAAGCCACATATACATATATGCGAAAGTCTGCGAATCATGAGAGTTTTTCTTTTCTTTAAAAATTCCTAAACTAAGCTAAATAATGTACCTTTACAATCCTTCCATTTTTTGATAGAAATTATTTCTGGTTAGTTTTTATTAAAAAAAAATATAATAACGTACGCGACATAACGTACGCGACAGATTTTTCCCCCATACAATATTTTTACTAGTAACACATACTAAATTAAATTTTTTCAGTTCTTCTCTCCACCGTTTCGCGTTTTCAAAACCTTTTTCCGCCATCTGAATACGAAATTTAAAGTTATAAAGCCGTTTGAATTCATTTGCTTGCATTTTCGGTTTACATTTTCATGGAAACACGCATATATGTGAAAGTCTGTGAATCATGGGAGTTTTTCTTTTCTTTAAAAATTCCTAAACTAAGCTAAATAATGTACCTTTACAATCCTTTCATATTTTAGGAGAAATTATCTCTGGCTAGGTTTATATTAAAAAAAAAACAATAACGTACGCGACATAACGTACGCGACAATTTTTCTCGTAAGTAATAAAATGTATTTATTGAGAACTCTTCTCGCCACCGTTTCATTGTTTTACAACTATTCTAAATAACTTAAATGGAAAATTTGCAATTAACATTGGTTTTGATGTATTTGATTGAAATTTTCGTGCTTACAATAACGTATGCGACAAACTTTAAAGGGTAATAAAATATATTTTTACTTCGGTTGGAAAGAAAATTTTACTGTATATCTTTAACTAGAAGAATTCTCGCTTAAGAATTGTAATCTGCATTACCTGCGACTGCCAATATACAAATGACATAGACAAACAATGTTTTTGCATAACGTACGCGACATTGGAATACTATCAGAAGCAAATCAAAAAATTACCGTTATTCGATCTCTAACTTCTCCTTTTTCTCATTTTTATAGTTAGTTGTTATTGCAAGTTTGATTTTAAGATGTAATTGTAATTATTCAAATCTCTTAATTTAGTTAATAGGAAAGAGAAAATAGTTCATTTCATTAGAGAAAACTGAGTCGAAGAGACATTCAGTTTTACTCTTCCATTTTTGAGTTTTAAAATTCCAATAAGCTGAAATACTTCTATAATATAAAAATTCGAGTATTTTTCTCTTATTAATTCGTCTTTTCAGTTGTTTTTATTTTTTCAGTCCTGGTTGACATTTTCATGGAAACACCCATATACAGATTTTGCTTTGCGATTAGTTTCACGCAATATAATAAATCTCATTTCATCAGTAAAATATTTGCGGAACACTTCAATTGGTGTGGAATTCTTATCAGCTGGACCACATTTACATAACTTGTCGAAGTATGTTATGAGCATGGATCCGACCACTTGGTGGATCCTCTTTTGCCCATTTCGTTCCATCTTTTGCATGAAAAACTGTGCTGAAAGGTGTCTTCTGATCGAACCACATTCCCTTGATCAATGATTTCTTCATCATTATCATTATCGTCCTCATCAATTTCGAATGCATTTATTTCAGCATTAATTTCAGTAAAAAAAAAAACGAGGACATGGGTGTATCGTATGCGGGGTCATAACATGTTTTACCCTGATATGATGACTTTTTTAAAATTTCTTCTTATTTTTAGTGTTTAACTTCTATAGAAGTAGTCACCTGAGCGGGTATCAGGGAATATTAACCCGATCCAAAATCATTTTCTTACCGAAATTTTGTTTTAATAAAATTATAGTTTAAAAAACTTAAACCTCCCTATTATAATTTCGTACATACATACCTGATAACTTGAGAATAGAAATCGCTGCATCTATATTACATAGTTACATCCCGAGCTAATAAAAGGAAGGTAAAAAATCAATATGGTCTGGCCAGAACCGGGTGTCAGCATGAGAGTTAATTATCCAAACTAATGCTAATGCAAAATTTGTATGCATTAAAATTTTTAATAATTTTGCTTGTTTGCATTAATAGAACCTATTAAGTTTTTTCTAGTGAAATATAAATATCCTCTTTTGGAAGGACTTCGAATAAATATTAGTAATTTTTATCTTCATACTGCCATGTTTATTTGTAGAGAAATTCTTGTAAACATTGTTAGATGTTCTATGTTATGTATATTATTGTTGCACACAAAATTCTCTTTATACCTAACAATTTCCATTTTGTCAACATATTTTGACACATATACTGCTCCTTTTCCCATAACTTCACCGATCTAAATCAATCGATAAACCGTTTTTTGGTTCCATTTGACAATGTGTTTTCGCTCATTTGACCGCAAATGCCATTGAATGTGACATAGTTAAAACCAGCCCTAACTGTCGCCGCTATAATTTTTGACCTCAAAGTTCCAACTCAACGTCAACAAAATGTATTTACTTCAAAGTAAAATTAATTGTTAGGTTTTTAATGCTTGTTAGATAGATAGGCGTCCCGAAACGCCCACTAAACTAGATGTACTTAAAATTATGGTACACTTTTCCACCCTATTGAATGGCAGCAGCACTGAAAGTAGTGGAGAAGACGAACTGGACCCCCAGTCGATGACGATGGAGTCGATGTCCCACCGCATCACTATGAAGAGGTACGAATAGCGATTACGAAGCTGAAAAACAACGAAGTTTTTGAAGCTGACGGCATGCCAGCCGAGCTATTCATGTACGACGGCGAGGAGCTGATAAGGTGCATGCATCAACTCTTATGTAGAACAGGTAAGATGAACGCATGCCCGATGACTGGAATTTAAGTGTGCTCTGCCCAATCTACAAGCCATACGCATAGGTAACAAGGTCTTAGCGAGTGTATTGTGTGAAAGGCTCAAGCCTACCGTCAATGAATTAATTGGAACTTAGACCTAGAAAATCCAACATAGACCAGGTATTCACAATACACCAAATCTTGGAAAAGACACGCGAGAATAGTATCGACACACACCGTCTATTTGCCGGTTTCGACACCCCGAAAAAAGTTGTCTTTATGCCGCGATGTCTGAATTGGTATCCTCGCGAAACTAATACGGCTGTGTAA